TATAGAGAGAGAGAGAGAGAGAGAGAGAGAGAACAAAAGAAGCATCATTAATCACTAGACAGCAAGGTACTATTGCAATTGTAATCAGGTAAATGGTCAATTACAATATGATCTCAACAACAACTAGCTAATCATGACATCTATGAAGCAAAGCCTATAAATTCCAAAAATAAATTAATAAACAGCCATATTCCATATGCTCAAAAGGTAAATAGAAGAGCAAAGATGCTGGTAGCTTTGATCATTAGAACAGATGTAAATATGTTACCCTTCTGTTGTTAGGCACAGAATTGAAAAATATAAAATTCTTTCAAGTGAAAGTAAAAGTAAAAGCTAATGTAACTAGGGTTTAGTTGAAGTTGGAATGTGTCATCCATTACAGCGTGACAAAATTCAACGTTTGGTCATAAGATATTGAACAAGAGGCAAAAGTTATTTATGGTTGTCTTGCGTTTAGTAGGGATGTCTGTTCATAACTGAAAATAAGAGAAGCTGTTCATCTTGCAGGAGGTGCTACCCAAATAAGACTGTCGACATACTCCATGATTTTAGCTGCACCATGTTTTGCACGAAGATCTTTCTCCAAGATCTTAGTCTTGTTTACAATTGGATTGTACAAAACAAGACGATCATCGCGATCTTCAATAAGAAACTCATTGTGTGATGTGAATCCAGTAAGTGCATCACCAAGAAAATGTGAAAAGCAAAAGACATGGCGTTTGACCCATGATTCAGCCACCCCATACTCATCCATCACCCACACCTGGATTTCAGCATCCCCATCCTTGACATCACACAAAGCTTTCCCCCCAAAACTCCTAAAGCGTTGGAGCGATCGTAATCCAGTATAGAATCCGGAAGAGTCATCTCACGGAATGTCTCTGAACCCAAATCAAATGCCACAATCAACTCTGAATCAAGCTTCTCATTAGTATGACCAACCCAATGAAGACGCCCATCATGGCCATCTACACAGGCCTTATCATTATCAAAAATCCTCGTGATGTGAGATGGAAACCTTTGAGTGATTAACTTCCATGAACCCTTTCTCATGCTGTAAATCTCAACTTGCAACCACTTTTTGATGACATGTAGAAAACTAGGAACATCGTCTTCTACTGATGCTTCGGTTTCGATTTCTTCAATGAGACCTGTGACCTTAACAACTTTGTAATCCTCGGTTTTGGGATCAAACCCAAACCGGAAAGAGATTTCATAACAACCGCAATAGGGGAAAGAATATGGCGGGAGAGTTAACACAGCAGAGAGAGAGAGAGGGATTCCAAATGTGAATGACTGAATTACCATAACGAGAGCATATCAAGCCGTGAACAGAGCCAATAACTTTGATTCTGGGAGTAGTATGTCCAGATTAGGGATTAACATCTGGGAGTTTGATGAGTTGGAGATGGGGAGATCGAGAAGGGTGTGCAGTGAACTGATTAGGGTCAGAAGAAGATGCCTTGTGGTAGAAGACCAAGAGAATTTGATCCTTGTTATTGATGGAATGATGGAGGTGGGATTTTACAAAGGAAGATTCAGATAAGAGGGCATTCCAAGATTTGGAGACGCATCTCATTTGAGCAAGTTGTTTTGCCAATAATCGGATGAATATGATTGATAAAAGCTCGAATGGGAGATTCTCAATAGTTGCTGCCATTGATGTTTTCGGAAGGCTTGTTGCCTTATTATTAATAATTAACTTTGAATCTTGTCTCGGTGCTTGGCCAGTTGTGTCAGTTGTTGATGCTTCATCTCTTTCAACAACAACATCATCATCACAAATTCTTGAATGCAGCAATGCTCTCAAGCGATGCAATTCAGACCTGTAGAAGTATATAACACACTAGTAATGGCTGAATACAGACGTTACTTACCAAATACACAGACCACTTTTGTACTTCTTCTATAATTCCGTTATTTTCAGTTGAAATTTTATCAGGTCTTATTATATTGCCATCACAGCATGAACCTGGAAGATATGCGTCAATTTACAACTTTCAAGAACTACGCTGCATTCATATCTCAATGGAAGATATGCATCAACCTTCAAACAGTTGTATATTAGCTAATATTAGGCTGTAAAGTTTCTATGTAAAATTAATGTACACAATTTCCCTGTTTACAAATTCCATGGTGACAGTCACTGCATACATAAACTAGCCAAAATTACTTAAATGGTACCTAGCAATAAAAATTTTACATTAAAAAATGTTGGGGTTCTTACACACACATAATTTATAACAAGTTTTTGATGACTAGCCAAAAGTTTACCACATAGAGTGTAAATAATAACAGTGTAGGATTTTACTTCAAGAAAGACCAACCTAGAGAAGGTTTTCTCTTTCAACATTTGTTCAAGCTCCAATATCCCAGTGGCAGCAAAAATGCTAGTAGAATTCCCACCTTCATCTGACACTTCGGTTAACTTCTTCAGTTCATGAAAAGTGCATCAAGGTTACAATGGTCTCACACAAAATGGTAGGATAAAGCATTGACACAACGACATATACATACACATTACTAATGAACTAGTAAAGAAAAAGTTCCCATCCATTTACTTTTGATAGTTATAATTGTAATGACTCTTAATAAAACTTTCAAGTATGGATATAACACTAAGAACAAATTAACAATATACAGTAATCAGGATCAAACCAGCAACACAACTCATGAAGGAATATCATAAAATCAAAAAAGCAAATATTGTTATTTTGTTCTCTTAACTAAAACTAGAAAAATTCAACAGAGAGCTTGATTTAAAAATAATATGTGAAAAAACAAAAGAAGTTTGAAAACTTATGTTTAAGCAAAATTTTGAAATGCTATTAACATAATTCTAGACATCATTACACCACATTCTAATATGTAAAGCACACAATATTGAGATTTGAGAACACACCCAAAGCACACAACAACTTACCTTATGCCCAGCCTCTGGAGAAACATAATGCAGTTCTTCATTAATATCTGGTCACAGAAGAGCTTTTGTGAGGGGTATGTACATGTTCATCTAGCACTGGAATATCTCATGAAGTAGGATGTGCATGTTCATACATAACTAAAATTTAAAGAGTTACCATTTAAAGATGTCAATTATACATTTACTTATGACAAATATGTGCATATTCAGGATGTCCTTTTAACTCATAAATCCATTTTTGATCAAATGAACTTTAGGAAAAGTCATATTTTCTCAGTGATGAGGAACAATTGAGCAACTTTCACTTTCATCCTAATACATCCCTCTATTACCCTCAAAAGGTCTCATCCTGAGGACTAAATTTTCTCATACACATAATCATATAAATGAGTAAAGCCAGTAACGCTAAATTGAATGATTACTTATAGTTTATAAATAACTGGCTTTCTGCAGCCATATTGCAAAATCTTAAGCAGTTGAAGCATGCAGCAAGGAGTATTCGATCATTAGAAAACAAAATGTCGAAAGTTCAGATCTACAATTTAAGAAGACATACGCAATTCAAAAATGAAGAGATCAGATATCGACCAAGAAGAAACTAATTCCTAATTGCATAAACCTATGATTTAGTAAATTAAATGACTTTCTACAGCAAAAGAAAAAAAAATCACTGATCAATTGAAAAGGATGCAGCCATCATTCAATGAAACAAAGAAAAACCTAATATTAAGACACACCAACTATGATGCCTTACGATAGCCATAAAATATAGCATTTGATTACAGCCATATAGGCCCCAAATAACCTAATAAATGTAAGAATAATTAAAAACTATTCTAAGTGAGATAAACGGTGGTGAACCTCGCCGGAAAGGCCTCTTACGGGACTTTTCTCCGGCTCCGCTTCCATCTCCCGTCGTCGCCATTGGTGAATTACGTAGACTGGACAGATAAAATGAAAGTGAAAAGGTGGGGAAGAAAAGAAAAAAAAATGGAGCGGGAAATCAGGGTTTTAAACTGAGCATAAATAGGTCTAACTAATCTTTAATTTTAATAATATTTTAATTTCATTGAGATATTGAAAATCCTAAACTAAAATAGATATATATTCAACGATTAAATTAAATGGTCGTTTGACGGTTACTTTGACAGTTACTGATTACAACATCTATTGTATCCTCATCTAACTAAAATCATATTTGTTTGATTATATCTCTGACTGATAACATGACGGACTGTTGTGAATCATGAAAAATGTTCATATTGCTCTTATATTATCTCTTGTATTGAATAAAATAATTATAAAAGGTGGTTAACCCGATGGATACCCGTTTATTAAACAAAATCTAATTTTTTATTAATTTGAAAACTTAAAAAATATCAACAACTATTATGTCAATAAAAAAGTTAAATTGTTCATACTTCATTCTCATAGAATTACAAATTAAAAAGATGATCATGAGTCATGTCATTCTTAAGTTTGTGAATAAAACTAAAATAAAAACTAAACTAAAAAAACAAAAATTATAAAGTCATGTGTGGTTGTTGTTCCAATAACATTGTAACTTGGTTGCAGGGGCTTTGAATTTGATCTTGAATCTCATAACAAAAACAAAGAAACGCTCAAAAGAAAACCGATTACATATTTATGAACAATGTCATATTACATGAACAGATTAAAGAGAATCACATAAATCAATTACATAATTTAGAAAAAGAACACAGATTCCACAATTCAACCAAGTTCAAATAGCAAATATTATGTATTATAGAACACATAAATCAACTATAGACAAAGAAATCGATTACATATTATAGAAAAAAGAACACAAATCCAGCCATTCAGCTATTAGAAATCAATTATAGACAAATAAAAAAAGGACATTCAACCATGTTCAAAATCTCATTTTTACAGGTTACAACCTCTCTCTCTACAGTTTACATATATAGCATGTTACAAATTGGAAAGGAAACCACTTTTAAGGACACACATCACCTACCACATGGTGCAATCTTATACAGAAGGAATTACATTGTAACCATAACAAATTACTATAATACAAGTCATAGAGTTAATGTAGTCAGTGGCGAATCTAGAATAGAATTGCACGTGGTTCCTAATTAAGTGCAAACGGAAAAACCAAAGAGTCAACGTTATATATGACATATCGGGTCGGGTCGAACCAATAAAAAAACAACTGGTTTGTAAAAACTCGAGTTCAACCGGACCGATAGAATAGCTAAAAACTGGTAAAATCAGTCTACTCAACCCTAAAACCTGATTTTTGCAACAAAAAAAAACTACTTTGCACGACCGGGTATCTTTCCTTTTTAAAAAGTTCATTTGCAACAACCATTTTGTACGACCAACAATATGAGAGGAGTTGTGTTGTTTTTTAAATTTCCTAAAAAGTATTCATAATTTATTTTTATAACATCAAACAACTTCAACTCTTTCTTTATCTCCGATGTGTGATAGGTTTTGAAAGTATTAACCATTTGCTTTGAAATTTAAATATAAGTCCGCCATTATTTTTTTATTTATTTGTTTTTCTTATTTGGTGTAGTTCCTAATTTTTTTTAAAGGTAGTTCCTATTTTTTTTTCTATACAAATACTATATAATATTAAAAAATTAGGTGAGTCCTAGGACCCACTTTGCTTGTAAGTGACTACGCCCCTGAATGTAGTGAGATTGCAATTATGTCCCTTTTAGTATGTACCCTTTTGTTTAATTTTTTTCAGTGTTCATCAACTCCTACATCATTTCCAAGTGTATCATTCATTATTTTACTGACATGTGTGTTGCATTTTACTATTTAATCTGAATCAGTAACATTGTTTGAAACAAGCAAGAAACATTAGAGAAACATATTCCACCTAAGTTTTGGAAATTTTTTTATGCTCATAGTAGTGGCGACCTTCAAACAAATGAAAAAATATGTATGTTGGCAAATCAGACCTTGAAACAAATGACAAAGGACATTCCAAAATCGATCACATTCAAAGCCAGACTTCGAAAATTGACCACATTCAAAATCAGACATTAAAAATTAAAAATTAAGCGATGGTCATCGATTGCAAAATCAGA